AAGGCCCTGGAATGGTCCACAGGAATGCTTTCAAAAGAAAGCATGTTGATCCTGATTATTTGGAAATTTCCAAGAGAGTATTGCAACATTCTAATGGCCTACCGTTAGCTCTGAAAATAATAGGCTCTGATTTATATGGTAAGACAGATTTGGAATGGAAGTCAGCATTAGATACTTATGAAAGAATTCCTCATGATGATATTCAACAAATCCTAAGAGTAAGCTATGATGGCTTAAAGGAATTTGAAAAGGAAATATTTTTAGACATTGCTTGCTTCTTTAAAGGATACACACTAAGTTATGTCAAGGACATGCTACATAGTGGTCGTAGTTCTGCCCCTGACAATGCTATCCGGGTGTTAATTGATAAATGTCTAATAGAAATTGACAAACTATGTGACAAACTATGTGTGAGAATGCATGATTTGATTGAGGATATGGGTAGAGAAATTGTACGGCTTGAATCACCCTCAGAACCAGGTGAACGCAGTAGATTATGGTCCTCTGAAGATATTCTTCATGTTTTCGAACAGAACAAGGTATGTGCATTGTGCAACACATATTTGTCTCTTTGGTCCTTCATTTTTCCATTTCTGACAAAATGCATAGTGGAAGAGCTGTTGTTAAAATACAATTAAATTTTAGTTATGTTTACTATTAGTGCTTAGTCTAATATAATGAGATTTATAATTTGAAAACTCAATCTTGATTTAACTATTTTGGCTTAAGGGATCCAATAAAACTGAGATTATCATGCTACGCTTGTCTAAAGATGAAGAAGTGCAATGGAATCCATCTGCATTGGAGAAGATGGAAAACCTTAAAGTACTGGTGGTAAGGTATCTTATCTGTGTTTTGAATCTTTTCTTGTACTTTTCGAAGAAAAAAAAAATGTGGGTGCTTAACTGGCATTTTTTAATTATATGTGATTCATAGACACTACACGAGAATGGGGGAAAACATTTCATATTTACAGGATCAGCAATCCCAAGTTGGTTGAATTGCAGTAGCAAGGGTCCATCCCTGCGTTTCTGGTTTCGTAACAAGTTTCCCGAAATTACTCTATGTGCTGCTGGACTTTTTCGTTCGTTCGATCACCGTGTGTGGCACCTGATGGTCAATGACATACTACAGTTCTCGGTATATTGTTGTGTTATAGATCATTCATTTCAGGTTGAGACAAATCATACTTTTGTGTATGATCCTCTTGAAATAAGGGTTATCACAAATGAAGAATTACATATTAAGAATGGGTGGAACAGTGCTGAGATTTTGTTTGACTATCATGAATGGATGGGAGTACATGTACCGGAACAAAAATCAAACATGGCAGATATTCAATTTTCAAATCCCTACTCTTCAATGTCAAAGTAACAAAAACGCACCGATAATCTTTTATAGGTGACCTAGCGAAGAAGTGACTATAAAAGTTTTGTCAAGTCTTTTTGTATTGTACGTTCTTTCCAAACTCCTGACCATTTTTTGTAAAACAGGTTTCAGGTTACACTTGCATGGTCATGACTGACCTATGCTGCCTCAAGCAATACCACAACTTAAAGCTTTAAGAGCCAAGCGATTTGTCTGCTGAATCAAAGAAATGAAGATGATTTCAAGGTCAAAGCCAAACCAACTATAGCTGCATTGTAGTTCAGTCAGGTGACACTTGTGTTTCAAGAACAGGGGAGTGTACACCAATGCAAGATACAGGTTAACTAAGCATTGAAAGGCTTACGCTTGGGAAGTATCAATGTGGTCCCTTCTGATTCTCTATCAGAGACTCTTTCCTTTCTTAGATCACATTTTAAGCTACTTCTATGCTTCCATCCATTCCTTCTGTTAAATCCATATTTGTTGTACAAGAGTTTTCAGTATTTTTGTGTATTATGTTGTTTGTTACCTATGTTTAGTTGATTGATTAGTTTCCTAGATTTGCACCAAGCTAAGGGCGTTTGGATGTGAGGGTAGTTTTTAGAGCTATCAAAACGGGTCAGCCCGGTCCATGTGGGCCAGCCCACCTTGACTCACTTTAAAAACGAGTCAACCCAACCTGGCCTACTTTTAATTTTTTTAAAAAAAATTTGGCCCAGCCCGGCCCATCACGGGTTGGTAGGTGCGACCGCCGAGGCCCGTTTGGGCCGGTGGCGACAGTCATCTACTATTTTTTTTAAATTACAAAATCACAGTGTTTGAGCTTAATTTTGATAGCTTAACCTCTACTGACTAATTTGACCATACTTTGAGTTCTAGACATAAGTTTTTGGATGACTCTAGCAATATTGGAAAGCTAACATCTAGACTAAAAATTGCATGCGTATTAGAAAACCTATTTCAGCAATTTAAGTCTCCTCGCAAGGCTTATGAAGTACAAAGTTTATATTTCGAACACAAAACATGAGGTTCACCTTTTAACTCATGTCATTCCTTAATATTTCTATGTGATTTTTTAGTCTAAACTATAGTCTAAATGTCTAATTGCTAACCCAATAATCATAACTAAATTTGGTTAATCACATAAAGAGAAATCATATCAATACCAATCTGTGTTCACACAACTTTTTTAAAAAAAAAGCACAACTCACACTTAAACTCAATTCTCCTAGTCTAATTGGTAAAAACATAAATTAAATCCTAAAACTACTTTGTTATACCACCAGTTACTTGAGTCTACCATGAATTTCAAAACATGCTCTCATGAATTCATTAGTACTAGGGGTTCTACAATATAATTAATTTGTCCTAACCTCTATTTATATTAATACTTAGGGTCCCCCTGGGAACCCACAAACACTTATATATTCATAAATAGAGACAATCCCACAAATCAGAAAAGCAATCATAATTTAATAAATTATTCAGAACATGAGGGAATTCACAAATAGTAAAGATTTACAATAACACTCAAAATTGGGATTACTCCCTCGTGCATCAAACACAAACAAATGAAATTGGAGGTCAATCCCACTACTCATAGTTAATCCACTCTCCAGAGTGAGGTTCTGACTCTCCCCCTTATCTTGATGAATGCCAAACTCCAGATATGGATTTATGAGGTCGTCTTTGTCTGCCTCTAGTTCTCCTACCTCTTCATATCACAAGGGTGTGTATTAATTCTATATGAGACAACCTTAGTCTTACTAATTTATATGTAGGGCATACTAAAACCCTAACATGCAAATAATTCATCGGTAAAAGTTTGTCAATTCAGAATTAGTTACTTTTTTAAATTAAAAGACAATTCATAATAATTACTTAATTTCAAAAACACCCAGTTATTTAAAAAAAATCCTTAATGTATTTATAAAAATCTATTTAATTAACTAAAATATTGGTTTAATTACTTGAAAAAGCTTAGGATGTTATAACTCTCCCCCTTTAAGAAGTTTTGCCCTCACAATTTTACTTGTAAAGAAACGATGGATAAAAGAAGATACAGGAACATACTTTTTTAGTAGAGTGACATGGAACTACAACAAGAGTGTTTGGCAGGGAAAAAAACATTATTTGATAGCCAACTTCATCGACTCTTTTTCAAACAAATGTAGGCATCAATACACTTGGAGTGAGCTTGCGTGATCGTATGTCAACCAATTCCTATTCAAGATTTGTTTTATTTCTTAAGAATAAATGATTTCCCTCACTAGACTCAACTGTTTCCTCCTCATGTAGTATTTATTTATCTTTTAAGAACAATGTCTCATCCTTAGGTGGTTTAACACTTTTAGAAATTTGTTACACCATTTTAGGTCTTAACACAAGGTTCTCTCTAGGTTCTAACTAGCTCAATGGCTTTACAAATTTTCATTGTTCACTTTAACTATCTTAGAGTCTCAGAATATCATTTATATACCACCTTAATACTATCCGCTTGCCTTGATTTAACTCTAAATTAAACAAATAATAAGGATCCAACATTTGCCTTTAATAATCTCATTTATCAAACTTTTGGTCCCTTTCAACATATTCAGCTTAGGATGTTCCAAGGGTTACTCACATGTCAACTAGGGTCTCTAAACTTATTCTAAAGGTTTCAACTCTCCAATCATCAAATAGTCACCTTAGATATTTTACTACTCAAGCTTTAAAATCATAATTCTTAAGAAACTCCAACATTCTCACTTGTATCATGCTTAATGATTTTTGATCCATAGGTATCTAAGATCTTTGTAACCATCAAAACATCCAACATATACTTATAAAACATTCCTTCCAATCAATCAATTCATCCTACCTTAACAAGAGGTACTTACTTCTTATGTTCATTATTCTACCTAGTAATAATCCATACTTAGTTTCATACTCCTCTGCCTTTCCTCATTATTAACATAAGCACTTTGAAAGGTGACCCACAAGGCCCAAAAACTATTTTCTACAAGTTCTTCTATTTCTTATTTAGGTAACCTAGACACAAAGGCACCACAAACACTACAACATTTACTAAAATTAAATAAAGCAAGCATGGTATTTAGCTTACACTAATTTTTTGATAATGATTCTTACACCTAACCTCTCACTCAAGGGATATTTTTAGACCACTTATAGAAAACTCTATTATTTACCTTAGTGGTTAACATGCACATGCAAAGGACATTGCAAACAGGAAATAAAAATACAAACAAGACCACTGGTTGAATTCACACCAATAAGATAAAAATTAGGGGAAGAAAAGTAATTGAATTTTGACAAATGGACAAATAACTTGAAGGAATAAGTTGTACCAAAAATCAAAAAGTACAATTAAAAGGTTCAACTTCACATGAAGAAAGATTTTCTAGTAGTTTCTAATTTGTTAGCATACAGTATCATCAATTATTACCCATACCTATACTCACAACACGAGCGGTACCACCCACAATCACTACTTCTTACGTAAGCAAGAAATATCAAAACAAACAAGAAAACAAAAGAACGAAGGAAAATAACCATGCTACAACACACAATAAAATATAGAACAAATATACACACAAAACACGCAATCAAACACATAACATGGAGTCTGGTTTGAATCAACCAAGATATCACTAAATGTGACACTCTCTACCCCATATGCATCATATCGATAAATATAACGAATTTTCTAAATAATCTTACTAATAAATTAAATATATTTAGGTAGAAATATTACATTAACCAAAACTAAAAGGTAAACAAAACCAAATTGGAAATTGATTACAAGAAAATTAAACTTGATACCAAAAAAAAATTCAATTAATAAAACCCAAATTCCTAATGTAAATACTTTTAGAAAACAATTTCTTATTTATTGCCCTGATGTCACATCCAACCAAAATATTCCCAACACAAAATCTAAACATTTTCTACAATCACATCATTATCATAATTAAGTTCTTATGCAACCATACATCAAAAACAAACCACAAAGAAAAAGGAATGAAAAAGTCTCACTTTGAGTACCAGGGTAAAATATGGCTGGGTAGCCATACATAAATAAATAACAAATATACATTTACTGTCATTATCAAGATACAAGAGTAATTATACTATACATTCAAAATTTATCAAATTCATAGGTCACAATCAATCAAGATATAATGGTCATGCTATGATAATGCAATGAATAAGATTCTCCTAAACTATATGCATGTGGCCTCAATAAAATTAATTGTTAACTATGAACTATTGTCCGAAGGCTCACTACTTGAAGGCCACCACCCAAAGGCTCATTGCCTAAAGGCCACTACTTGAAGGCCACTGCTCAAAGGACACTGTTTGAAGGCTCACCACCTATGGGACACTACCCAAAGGCACATTTCCTAGAGGTCATTGCCCGAAGGAAAAATCTTATGTACAATTGTAAAATATTAAATGCACATGATCCATGCCTTACATGACTTTATGCTTAATTCTTATTGTATTATTACCACCAGCACATGTCACATAGTTGATGGAGGACCATCCTTGGAATTACATGTGGGACCCATCACTAGGTTTATGGCTAGGAGAATAGAAGAGGATAGGGTGCCTAACATTCCTAGAGACATGCTCCTCATGATTATAGAGTATTGATCATTCTCCTAAGCCTTGTTAGTATATGATTTATTCTTATTTTGGCCTTGTCTTTAATTTCTTATTTTACCCTTGTATTTTGGGTACCTTAGACATAGGATTTATTTTACTTATATTTCCCATTTTACACTTGTATTTTGGGGTACCTTAGACATAGGATTTATTTTACATGTATTTCTCATTTTACCCTTGTATTTTGGGGTGCCTTAGACTATATGATTTTATTATATAGTTAGGGAATTATGATAGGGGTGGAGAAGTGGCCTAGATGTGTTTTTGGTGATTATTAGAGTTATTTTTTCACTTGGAGAGGCTTAGGCCCAAGAGGAGGGCACTTAGGTTGCATGGTCTTATTATGCATCTAGTTGTAGCTTAACCAAGCTAAAGATTCCATCCTTGCCCACCAAGTAAGCATGACATGTAGGGTTAATTTGGCATGGATTTGTGTTGCATTTTCCTCAAATTTATCATGGAAACGTGAACACTCCTAACCCTAGTCGTCACCCTAGCATGACTAGCCATGACTTCACATCCTAATCTATATATACCTTAGGCTATTCTCCATGTATTGACTTTGGATATTGATATAGAGTGGGCCTTTGAGCCTTTATATTTTTCCTTAGTCTCCCTTGGTCATTTTTGGCCACCACCATCAACTCTCCATCTTGAGTGATAAACCTTAGGAGTGGCCTTTATTTACCTTGGAGTGAGCCAAACATTAGAGTGTTTCTCAAACATTTCATCAAACACCTTCCTTCCATCTCCCTTTTCGACCATCATCATCTAAGACTAGAGCACTTGAAGAACCATGATCCTTGGAGTCAAGGAGGCCTCCTTTGATACTTCTTCATCCATCAATGCTAGGAGGGTTT